CAATCATAGAATATGCTACAAACTCATTCTCCATCTTGTTGCGAAGAGCTGTTTTAACAAGTTTCATAGCTGAAAAAGCTCTTTCAGTAGTTGCCGTAGAAACAAGGAGAGTTATCACAAGACAGATAAACTTATCAATCAAATGATATCTTTCTAACCCTTTTGCTTCAACTAATCCCTGACATAATTCAGAGAGAGTAGACACATTTTGAAGTACAGGATGATGAGGTACCTATGTTTCGTAAAGTTTCAACTCGCATCTCTAAATATGTAACTCTTGCAGAGTAAAATCTTGAGGATAAAATCTCTTTGAAAGGATGCAAATTTTATCAATGTTCAATGATTTAAAAGAATCACTAGAGTTCAAAGCTGAACTAAGAATAAGAAGTTCCATTGCCCCATCACTAAACCTACTATTCAACTCAGCCAATTGAAAATCTATTGCATTATTGAATATGTCAAAGTAGTGATGCTCAACTATAATATTGTCCTTTTGCTAACAAGAACGTCTTGTTCCAACTTTATATTGAGCATTCATATGAGGCATATCAATGTCATGTTTCTTGTAAAATAAATCTACTTTCCCAATAAAAAATTTCCAACTAGTTAATCTCAACTTCTAAAGGACACTTTTTGTTGTACCGACTAAGTTTATAGCATTCACGGTATCTTGAGACTTATGTTGTAGTTCTCGACAAAGGATATAAGTGAATCCCATAATTTCTTGCAATAAATGCAAGATGAATACAAATTCAAATTGCCTAATCGCATTGTAGGTACCAGTAGCTTCCCCACGTAAGGAGCCTATGAATCCATCTTTCTTTGTATTCTCAAGAACTGTACAAACTATATCATACATAATGATCAAATCATAAATAGAATCATAATAAGAACTCCACCAAGTAGCTCCAGGTCAATGCAAGGTACCAATTTGATTAGCTCCTCTACCAGTCTCTCGTTCACTAGCAACCAACAACTCTATAATATTCATTAATTGAGCAACTTGTAACTCACTATGACGTTTCGGAGAAGCAGTAATGACATTGACAATTGAATTCAAGGATGAAAAGAAACCAAATTGCAGCCACTTCTTTTTTGATGCGCAAAACAGTGTACGTAATATGCATATGGGCAATCTCTAAAAAATAATGCTTGTAGCCCATTCCATGTACCCCGTATATTAATAGCATTATCATATCATCGACCTCTCATCTTATCAATACATAATTTATGACAATCAAGTACTTTCTTGATCTCTTTTTGAAGTGATCTTCAACCCACACAATGTCAAAAAAAGGTTCTCGTAAAAAATCATCATTATCAACAAATTTTAAAACAATAGTCATTTGCTCTCTATTTGATGTATCTTGTGATTCATCAACAAGGATACAAAAAGTAGCATGCCCAACTTCTTCACAATTTTTTTTTTTTCTCACTTTGTTAGCAAGAATATTTAAAACCTTCTTTTGAATCATGGGTTAGGTATATTTGGCATTTCTTGGTGCATTCTCTAAAACAACTCCAACCACCTCATCATTAAACTTTGTTGTATGCTTTACCATTTTAATAAAATTTCCACGGTTTTTAGAATCCAAAGATTCATTATGCCCCCTGAAAGCACATGTCTGATATGTAAGCCACCGAACACACTCTATCGATGTCTTGAGCCGCAACCGATTTTTCAAAATTTCTTCCTTTGATTGTCAATTAATAACTTTGTCAACATGTTGAGATGGGTTCATCAAATCCTCCATACATCTTTCACAAGTATTATGCAATGAATATGAACCTCCCATGTGTGTCAAAAATAAACAATTATTTCCATCATTAACTCTTTTTCAATTACTAAACCCCTCAATAGTTAGTGCAAAACGACCACTACCAAAAAGAAAGCATGGAAACAATAGACTTTATCTTCTGAAGGGGAATATTCTAACATGGAAATTGGGAGAACCATAAATATTTAAATCGAAGATATTGCAATCCAAACCGAGACCTTGGATATTCTGAAAGTTTTGGTTGGTAAGGTTCAACTTTGATATAAGCACGTCAAACCTCATCATGTTAATTAATATGGTATTCAGATATTTGAATACATTTCCTAGGGTTTCATTCCAAAGAAGTAACATCAAACTCATTAGGTTCAACTGCGGGAGATGTATGATGAGGTGGCTCAGTTGATGGTGAAGCCTTGTGTAGGGGCTTTTTTCTTCCGGCAGCTACTACGGGCCTGACTGCCGTAAAGGGCAAAATGGAAGAAATTGCCCCTTGAGCCTGAGTTCGAAAATTAAGCCCCAAAATATCTCGAAAAGGAAGTAGAGCCTTAGGAAGTATTTTGGTTATCTTCACCAACGAGAATAATGGTAACTTGCAGATAGTTTTGGCATGCTTACAGATAGTCTTTTCAGCTCAGCATGAGTGGCATGTGGCATGGGAGCAAAATCAACATGGGTTTAGCACTAAGAGAGAAATTAGGCTTGGTTTATGAGAAAAGAAAGTGTTTAAGTAAGGAATGAGGTGTTTTGTGAGGAATTCGACTAGGGAAAGAGGAAAAAGAAAGGCAGAGTTCTTCTGGCAGCTGCCAGAAAAACAAATTGGAGAAGAAGATGAACAGTGCACGAGTCTGAGTTTTGCAAGATAGAGAGAAAAGCTTGCTCTCTGCAGGTTGTGAGTTATTTTTGTTGGATAGGGGAAGGCTCAATTTATAGCTGCCGGAAATCACCAAGCGAAAAGCACTTCTAAATGGGTGAAAGTGCTTTTGTCTTTTAAAAATGGTGTGTTGGCAAAAATTGCAAAAGCGCTTTGGGTGAGATTCAAAAGCACTTGAAGTGGTTTTGGAAGAAGTACTTGAGAGGTGCTTCTTCTTAAAAGCGCTACAAGACAAAAACACGGGAAATACTTGGCTCCCTTTAATGAAACATTTAAAATGCTGAAAATACCCATATTTAATTTTTTAAATGCCAAAATACCCTTTCTTTCTTCTCTCTCTCTCTCTCTCTCTCTCTCTCCTATTACAACCAAAACACTACCCTCGAAATGCCCAACAGACGCCAAAACCTATCAGATGCCAAAACACCCATGGAAACCCTTAAGCTTCTATTCCATCTCTCTCATAACTTCTCTCAACATTGAAGAGATTTGCTCTTTATTTTCTGACTTTATTCTGTTATTAAAATTGTGTTTTTCCTTTTCTATAAATTTTTTATTCGAACGTTTAGATATAAATAATAAATTAAACAAAGCTTTAACAGTAAAGAAAAAATAAAGAAACAAACAAAAAATAATAATAAGTCAAGTATAAGAAAGCAAGCATGGTATATTGAAAGTATGTTAAAGACGTTGTCCAAAAGCCTTTATAGCCTCCCTATGTGCAGGTAATGACAGTCTACATGACTCCAATATACGATCCCAATACACAGGCTTAAGGACTGCTATGAGCACCTTCACATTCGAATAGAAATCTCCAAGCCACAGAACCATTGCCCAAAAATAATATGGAAAGTAGGGAATATATGAAAGTATGATAATAGAGAAATATGATTGTGGTATGTTCAAATGTGAATGAAGAGTAGCCTTTTATAGACATCCAACACTTGTAACCTCTAGACACATTAAACCACAAAATTAAGGCAATGAATAGAAAAATAAAAAATGAAAATTGAACAATTTGTAAATCCCATAATAAATAAAAGAAAATAGCCAAAATATTAAAACAAAATCACACTGTAAATTTTAAAAACCTTTCAAATAATAACATATTCCGCATCTGTTAAATTGATCAAACCAGCTAATTACTGATACACACCATGGCTTGGTAGTTTACAAAGTTCTTATGACACCACTGCGAAGATTTACTAGACTGTAATTTTGGAGATCACTTACTAGAATTACCAAGAGTTGGCCTATTTTGTGGCATGATAGAGAAGAAAATTTGGTGGATTAGCTCAAAATAACTGAGCTTGCATGATTTATTTGCTTGAGTGACTAGAGAGGCTTGATTTTGCATGATTGTGGATTGCAAGAGTTGCATTGACTTGGTATTGGCATGTATGCTTG